GAGATTTCTAGACACAAACTGGAATGGCGCTCTGCCCTGTAATGTGTGAGCTACAAATTTAAAGTGAATCTTTACCTCATGGGGAGATGTGAAACTGTTAAAACTGTCATTCTTAACTTCTCAGTTTATTTACTGTGATTCCCTGTAAACATGGAGTAATTCGCTTGAGGCTGGCTGTAGAAGAACCAGAAGATTTATGAAAGATATGTGTTATCCATAGTTAGTCGTATAGCTGACATGATTGACAGGTGGGCGGGATGAAACAGTTTGTCAGGAGGCTGAAAACCTGCCTCAACTCCAGCTCTCAGTCTGTCATTAGGTTGACTGAAAGTTAGACTGAGGCCATATCCGAATTGCCAAGTACCTACTCAATCTTTCAGTAGGCAGTAGGCAGTACCTACTATCCGTGCTGCATACTGTTAGTACCTACTATTCAGTATGCACACACAGTAGGCAGATATTTGTCCCTACTTCTTCTGATTCATTCAGTATGGAAGTGGCGTCATTTACGTTTCCAGAACCGGCCGCATCCACCCGTTTTTTTTCTTTTTTTTGTTTAGCTTTATTCAAGAAGAGAAATGTGCATATACAGTCAGGTAAACAAAAAACAATATCACAATGTAAATCAAGTAAAAGGCAGATTAAATAACTAGATAACATACATAAAGAAAAGTACAAATGAAAGACAGTAAGATACAGAATATAAAGTAAAATAAACAAATAAAGACGTATTTAAATCATTATTTAAATAGAAGGGGAAAGGTTTTATAATAATGCAGATATTTGTTATATTTTCTGTTGTTAATTAAAAGTAGCGATTTCAGTCGGGACTTTAACTCTAGATTAAAAATTGATTCAATTAATCCAGGCTCGTTTGTTTTGATTTGAAGGTGCACGTGACGTGAAGATTTACATTTAATTTTGCACAGCATTGTGGGTGGTAAAAAAATAGAAAAAAAAAAATACAATTCATTTCCTGAAAGCACGCATCCGATCCATACTGCATAAAACCCGGAAGTTAGTATGCATACTGAAATGTTCAGTCTACTGAGGTGGACCCAAAAAATGCATACTGAATGACCACGAAAGTTCAGTATACTGAAACTTCCTACTGAAAAGTACGTACTGCATACTGAACTGTAACAATTCAGAAAGGGCCTGAGACAGGATTTCCAGCATGGCGGCTGATGCCGATGAGCCTCCAGAGCCCCCTGCAGGAACAGATGGCTGACGTCACTCAGGCTTCAAACATTAATATTTACAGTCTATGGGTAGACCCATTCTACCAAATGTTTCAAAATGCAGCTGCAGACAGGAAATGAAAGCATGTTATGCTGAAATGATTGGATGTTAGTTCCAGTATCAGTCTTAAATGAGAATCCCATATTTATATCAAATCATTTGTAAGTGATTTCACTGTGTATGGTGGACAATTTAGGAAAGGTGAAAGTTTGAGGCAGCATGAAAGGACTCGAGTCTATTGGGGGCCTGCTAGCCGAAAATTTGTACCAAGCTAATGTAATGAAGAAAAAACGGTAAAAAACTGTAAAAAACCTTCTTTCTGCAACTCATACAGAAACACAAGGAAGGGTCTATTTAGCATCCTACTCAAGATGCCCTTCAGCATTCCTTTTTTTAAGTCACAACTGCTATCACATAGGAAGTGACGTTTCTTTCAACCAATCTACAGACTGCTGTGTGTCTAGCTCTACCCTTTAGGGTCAGTTCATAAGCCTACGCTTTGCGCCCCAACAGAATAAAATAAATAGGATTGTACGGATCGGTTATGTTTGCAGCATCAACTGAACCGGACTGCTCGGTGGAAACGGGGCTAATGTAACCAAAACGCTGTTTTTGGCTCGGTTAATTCACCAACCTTTTCAATATAAGTAAACAAATTATGATTAGGTTTAAAAATCTGGATTTTTAAAATGGGGTGACTACTCAAATTTGATTATACAGAAGTTTGAAGTTAGACTTGACACCAGCCTTTGGTCCTCCTTGCAGGTTAACAGCCACATATCTGTGCCGATTTTGCATTGCACAGGTTAATTGGTTATAAGAAAGTTTAACCTGGCCGAGCCTGCATGCAACTTAATCTCCATTTGATCAAATGATTGCCAAACCACACAAATCACTCACATCCCGAGTTACAATTTAACAGAACTGACTTCAAACCAAACTTTAAACCCTTGTGTCCTGCACCTCCTGCTTCTTTTGACCATTCCATGTTCCCCAATGGCCAACCCAAGCAAACACTCCACCATCATTCACCTGACAAGTGCCAACTTTAACATCCCCACGAGCTGCAGGTTTTAAAAAATATTAATTTAATCAAAACTTATCTGGAAAAACCAAAAGCCACGTGCATGAAATAGTGCAACAGAATATTAAATTGTCCAAACCAGATTTAAATCTTAAAATGTTCAAAATGTGACTAATGGGTGAAAAGGTTCCTGATACTCGTCATGATTCAGGCTGCAGAAAGTATGCAGTCCCTTTGTGCAGTCACACAGGGGCTTATGCAACTTAAACAAAATATATACATGCCACATTCTTCAGCTGATGTTAAAAAGTTGTCCTTCAACTAAACAGTTAAGCATTACCCATTTAAGACAGAGGGAGACACTGACTCTTCAACAGGATCTGAAAAAGTAAGACTGCGTTTTTTGGACATTTTATCTAATATACAGAAATTGCTGAGATAAATCCAGCATCAGGTGTAGCTATTTCAGATCGAGCTAGTTATTTTTGTTAAAGCTATTTCTTAATCAATCCTTGACTCTGTAAACTTTATCACATAAAAGTCTCAGGTAGTGAGCTTCATCAGTTTAGGATTGTTGTTTACCTGAACTAAGACATTGGTTATGTCACTTCATCATTTTTTTATGGCTTACACACTTGACTACGCTTGTGCAACATGTTGATGTGTAAAACAAAAAAATCACTCCCTCTTTTGCCTTTTTAATGTGTTATTGCTTTACAACCATGAAATATGGAGGATATAAACAAGAATTTCTGACGCTTCAACCAAAGGAGGTTTAGACTTTTCCAAACTGAAATGAATCACTACTTCCTGATTGGGTTCTAAAATCTGTGCAGACCCCCTCCGAGTCAGTGATTAGCAGAAGAATGGGGAACTTGCTTGTTATGTTGAATGATGCTCATTTAGTAAAATATGCTCCTATATTGAGAATGGTTCTCATAGTGGGGGTTGGGGCCAAACTGTCACGAGGGCACCCAAGGGGGGGATGTGAGAAGCACATTTTTTTGTTATGATTTGTATATGCATATTTTACCCATTATTGTCAAAATAAAAAAAACAGTGTTCAATTTAAATCCAAAGATATGAAGTGAGATTTATGCTTAAAGGAAATTAATGTGTTAAAATACTTAAAATGTAAGTTTGCCCATGACAGCAACAGTTTAGGTGTCTCCTGCTCTGTACACATTAAGATGAACACACCTGTGTGTCTATTTATTAAGTGTATGTCCACTCTGTGCTGAAGTCTATACATGAAAATGACATGTAGTATTTGGTTTTCAAAGTCCAATTCCAGGCACAGTGGGGGTCCTCAGTCTCTGGCATCTTTATTTTGGGGGTTGCGGGCTGAAAAGTTTGGCAACCTCTGATCCAGAACATATGGCTGTTTAGACACACCAAGCAGACGGCAAAGAACGAGTGGCAACGAAGGCCGCCTGTGTCGTCGCCTAACGTCTTGGTCAAAAAGTTGCACATGAACACAACACAAAGACTACAGCTGACGCCAACTACCATGTGTGAGAGGAAATAACTCACCATGCCAGCAGGCGCCGGTAGTCCGTTATTATGATAGAAAGAAGAAAGAAGACCATTTTCACACTGCAGTCGGTCACCACTCATATTATAGGTAGCTTACTAATGGAGAATAATGTCTGATAAAAAGTTGAAAATGGCGCTGGCGGTGTCAGCCCTTGGTCTTTTAGTGGAAAAAGAAAAGGAAGAGGCGGAGGCAACAAATAAGAAGAAACCGCACTAATGGGTGAAAGAATGGATACTACAGCGGCATGCTCGAGGGGCTTTCCTGAACCTGTGTCAAGAGCTGATAGGATCAGCCAAAAAAAGGCAGACACACTGCAAAATCTAGGACGATGACCGACGTTCTCCTTGGTGTGTCAGGACCTTAACATGCACATGCATTGTGTTGTACAAATAAAATAAGACATTTTCAAAAAAGGCTGATGGCATGGATTTTGACAGCAGAATATCTAGACCTTTAATCTTTGAAAGAGAGGGTTTACAAACCAATGGGGTACGTCACAGTGGCTTGTACAGTTTTTACACTTTTTTTTTTCATCCCAGCCCTATCTTGATCAGTGTCCTCTCTCACGTAATCACTTTTTGCATATTTACAGCTCTGCCCTGATCAACCTTCCACGTCTCTCAAGGGATAATCGGCGCATCTAAAATTTTGCATAACCTTTTTAGAAGTTTATACTTAAAGATGATCATGTTACATAATAATTTCCTTTTCTGTATTTCTAGCAAGGACATGTCTCACCAGCTTTAATGTCAGAATATACATAAACTGTTATCATTTCTGTGTTTTATATTAAAGTTTTGACCATTTAACAGACTCGGTTTTACTTTAAAGACGAGATTTAATGTGTAAATATATGAGGCCGATTTGTTTTTACAATAAGACCTTGTGTGTACAGGGTGTTCCCTGTATCAATGAACTACAAGCATCTCCCCCCTGCTTACTGGCATGCGAGGGTGATGATGCTGCACAGCAGAGTTGACCAATAAAGTTTTAAGAGGCCAAGGAGCAATAAAAGGTGGCACTGTGGTGCAATCATTTCCTCTTCAGAATGATTCTCTTTTTTATATGCATGTTCTTCTGAACGCTGACCCCATAAAATACAAAGTATTGGTTAATTTTTGATTATTTTTTTTCACCTGATGATTTTCCCACCCAGTGCTATTTGGCTGAACCAGGTTAGGCATAAATAGGAGTGACTTGAACACTTCCTCTCACTGTCATCTTCTTGGATCAGAGAAGCGGATACGGGAGCTGTCTTTGTGGAATCTAAGAAGTACCAGATCTCAGGAAAACGTGCTTCCATCTTCTATCAAATTGGGAAGCCCCTTGATTCTCTTCTTCTGCTCTCATTATACCGTCCACAATGTCTGCGTTCACCTGTGACTCTCTTGCAACAATCTGTTCTGGAACAGACTGCCTCATTCCTCCCAGTAACTTCAATGAAATTCTGAGCGTGGTGATGAGCGTGGTGCTCACCATCATGCTCTCGTTCGTCATGTTCGCCATGGGCTGCACCGTCGATTCCAAAAAACTGTGGGGCCACATCAAGAGACCCTGGGGCATCATCATTGGCTTCCTCTGTCAGTTCGGCATCATGCCCTTCACAGCCTTCGCCTTGTCATTGGGCTTTGGTGTGCTTCCTGTACAGGCTATTGCCATCATTATTATGGGCTGCTGTCCTGGGGGAACCGGATCTAATATCATCTGCTACTGGCTGGATGGAGACATGGACCTCAGGTAAGCAACCAGCTGGCTGATTTGAGGCTCATTGAAATATCCAATGTGACTGAGTTATGTCAAGCCATTTAAAAAGCCATCCTGGATGGTGTTTCTTGTTCATGGACAAACAATATCTAGCAGCATAAAGTGACTCTTGAGCTCAGTTTTAGAGGAACACTTATCCAGCACAACACATGTAACTAGTGGATGACCATGTTTCTCGAGAGTAAGGCGGCACTTATCAGGCGAAAAGCAGCTTAGGTAGGCAATTAACTCCACCACTCCTTCTAGTTACTGCCATCAGGCAGACGCTACAAAGTCCCTCTGGCCCGTAAAAACATCTACAAAAAATCCTTCATTCCCTCTGCAATAACCCTTCTGAACAAAGTCAAATAGACCCCCTTTTTAGAAGCTGTTGTTTTTAACAGTCCTCTTTTAATGTCTGTACTGCACTTTGTGTTTTTAATATAATTTGTGTTTATTGTTTGAGCCTTGTCAAAGGAGAATTTATATCTCTGTTGGGACAGACAATAAAGTGTATCTATCTATCTATCTATCTATAATGAGTTCGGTTAAGTCCCTACCATTTGCCGATTAGTTATCATGAAGGTGTTTAAGACCAAGCCAAACTTATACAATCCTACAGCTGATGCAGTTTTCTCTGGTCGTACTTTCTGGTTGTTTAGTCAACAGTCTTTGTATCTCAAGCAATAGTTCAACATGTCTGCTGAGCCACAGACAAAAAGGTTATTTTGGATTGACACACACAGAAAAAATAAACAACATAAAAGATCATGTTAAAGTGATGAAAAGAAAAGGAAACAAATCTGACTTTGAAAAGAAAACGAACAGCAGTGAGGTTGCAGAGACAGATTTTTTAGATCTTTAAACATGTTGTATGCCCAAAGTGGTTGGTGGAACTGGAAACATTTAGGCATAATTAATAAGTTAAATGTTGTTAAATGTTGCTTAGAAAACCAAGATGTTTGAAACCGAAGTTAAGTACAAACGGGGACAAAGTAAGGAAAACGTCAGAACAATCATTAAACCATCGCTTCGTGTGTTCTCATTGGCTGCATACTGTACAAATGGGCTAATGATTTGCCCCAAAATGGTGAATTTCCAAATTGGACAAAACAAGGGCTGCTTGAAATTTAAAAAGACATGATATACTGTATATATTTTTGACCGATACAGTTTCCATGTTTGTACTTTCACAGTATCAGTATGACGGCCTGTTCTTCTATCCTGGCGTTGGGGATGATGCCTCTCTGTCTGCTCATTTACACCTCCGTCTGGACTTCCTCCAACACAATCCAAATCCCATACGACAGCATCGGTATGTGAACTACAACGGTGAAGTACTAGTGTATAAAGACGATCTAGATTGGTGTCGACATCCTTTGACGTATTCAACATAAATGAATAAACTGATGTCTATTCTTAAGATCTTACACCCTGTTGATCCATCACGCTTTATAAATAGTATGTTAGTTTTTAATGGTACTAAGATAATGAGCTGTAACATGATGTGTCTGTGTCCTCAGGTATCACTCTGGTGTCCCTTCTTGTCCCGATTGCTCTGGGAATGTATGTCAAACGCAGGTGGCCCAAGGCAGCAAAAAAGATCCTTAAGGTAAGAATTCTCATTAATTCATAAAGTCCTTATTAAAGCTTCATAAGTAACTTCTTCACCTTCTACTCTTTGCCAATCAGATATTTGAAAAAGGGATTTATTGTGACATTTACATTTTGTATTTTCTGCCTGCTGTTCACAGGTCGGCTCCATTGGAGGCTTTTTGCTCATTATCATCATAGCTGTAATTGGAGGAATTCTCTACCAGTCCTCCTGGACCATCTCGCCATCCCTGTGGATTATCGGAACGATATATCCCTTCATAGGTTTCAGTTTGGGGTTCTTCATGGCCCGTTTTGCAGGTCAACCCTGGCACAGGTAAGGAAACAATCTTATCTTGTCTAATATTCAGCTTCGGCAGTGTTCTGACACTTTTAATAATATCATGTGAGGCATACATGTAAGACACATTTGTGGTATAAACCAAGCACAAAGTGTTGTGTGACATAAAAGCCGAAAAAGTCTGCAACATGTTACATTCGTCCAGAAATCTAGTGTATATCCACTATTTTGAGAAGTCGTAAACTTTTAGAGTTACGCAATATTCACAAGTTGTGTTACCCGTATACTTACTAACATCCATATCTAATTAGAAACAAGACCGTCCTCAGTAGTTATTGTGCTTGAGCATTCAATTCAAACCTTTATTTATTCTCAAAAGGACAATTAGGTTTCCCTCATTTCCAATGCCACATGACCAAACTCTTACAGTTTCACTAAATCAGCCGCCATCAATTATTTTTGCTTAACTCAACTTTGCATATTTGTTATCCCCTACTTGACTGCTTAATTTGTACAATTATTACTGGGATTGCACGACTATTATTGCTGCTTTAATGATGAAACCCTGCCAGGTAAAACATAGGGTACAGAGTTTTACCTTTATGTAATATTCTGAAGCACAGTGTCACTGAACAAGCTGCCTTCTTCTTTAATGAGCTGGTTACAGCACTGTAGTGATGTTGGCATGTGTTCATTGTCTCACATTGGGCCTGCTTCCTTAGATCTGACTTCAGTTCTCTGTCGACAGAATAAAACAGTTTTATTATTTCAAATTCACTTATCAACACTGAGGTCTGTTTGTCATTCCCTGTTTGTTCAGATGTCGAACCATCGCTTTGGAGACGGGTTTCCAGAACTCCCAGCTGTGCAGCACCATCGTCCAGCTGTCCTTCAGCGCCGCTGAGCTGGAGGTCATGTTTGCATTCCCGCTCATCTACAGCATCTTCCAGCTGGTGATGGCTGTCCTGGCCGTGGGAGGTAAGAGCAAAAAAGAAAATGAACAGAAGCAGCAAACGTTGTGAATCCCAGGAGTGACATGGTGTTTACGTCCATGTCTCTCACAGGCCAAATACAAAACAGTTCAAGCAGGAGTGGATCTCTTTCCTTTGAGATTGGGAATACATTTTGGTCTGATTTTTGTGCCTTGATGTGTTAAAATGTCTCCATCTTTATGTGGGCTTCTTCCTCTGATTCCCGCATTTTAAAAAAACAGGATTTTCCAGCTCCTAGTTTACTCAAACAAGACCAAACTACAGCTAGAAATAGAACATGACTAGCCATCAATTATTGAAAAAGTAGTCCTTTAACAGCTTGCTTAGCTAATTTCAAAAAGTCTTTGAATGTGTTTGAATTCCAAGATGGCCGATCAGTGTTTTTCATTCTGTGTTTTTCATTCCATCTGCAGGTTACCAGCTATATAAAAGGAAGTGCGGCGGAGGTTCAAGTGATGACGACAGTGAGGCTTCCCTGGAAGCTGATGACAGTGAAGAGAAGAAGAAGCACTGTGCTCTTGACAACAATGCCTTCGAGTTAAATGAAAATGTTAGCAGTGAAGAGAAAGGTAAGAGTGCTAACAAGCACACCAAGCTGTGAAGTTAGAAACCTGCAAAGGAAAGACTTGTGACTGGCAGGACGAAGCATCCAGGACCTCAGCAGCCTCACTCTGTTGTGAGCCCACACTGCACTCTGCAGGCCGGAGGCGTGCACTACACGTCCTCGTCTCATCAACCAAGGAGGAAAATGTAAAATAGGAGGGGTGCAAAATATTTGTTCTAGTGTGGCAAAACATTTATTATAAAGGGATGATATTGTAACTGTAACTGTAACTTACCACTGTAACTTTTGCTGCTTTGCTAAAGTGCTCATGATGCTGATGCAGGTCTTTTTACCTGCTCTTTTGTAATGTTAAAAGACAAAGAGTAAGGTCTTTTACCTGCTTTTTGTAAAGTGTCTCGAGATAACACTTGTTATGAGTTGACGCTATACAAATAAAACTTGATTGATTGATTGATTGATATTGTATGAATATATGAGGCCCTTCTTTCCCCTGGTAACCTCCCTGGATACGCCCCTGTGCATAAATGATTCAAACTGAACATTTAATAATGTTAAATACAGACTGTAGTCATCTTTGTGAAATATATTGTTGTCAAACACTTAGACTATTAAACATTGTTGATTTTTAAAAAATATTTAACTTATTTTTAATGCAGCGAATGAAACTGGTGGTTATTACAGACCAACTTTGGCACGTGGTACCAGATGAAAACTCCCGCTGCCTGTGTGTTCCTTTCAGTTTTTCTATGCCTCATATATGCTCTGTGATAAATGAGTAAAAAAGAGTATTCATCACATTCTTAGACTCGTAAGATTCTCATATTTCGGGAACTTAGATGATCGTTAACTTTAAACACTTAACCTAGTGGTTTTACAAATCTGCAATGGTTGAAAAAACGTGGATATACTTTTAGAATCCCAGTTTACGGATATTTATGAAACCTGTTCAGACTTTAAAAAGTAATTTATTAGTCCTCTGTATTGTGCAAAACTTATTCAGGCATTTTTTCTCATGATTTAATTACAGTCTATTGCAATATTTTACGACTTTTCTTTTTTTTTAATGCTGTTTTACAACTGAGCTGTATGGTTCTCCAAAAGGACTTTCTGTGTTTTTTGTGTTTCGACGAGAGTTTGACTGTAAAGGATTCCGCTCAATAAAAGAAATATTCATATTTGGACGCTTCACCTAATTGTCGTATGTGATGTCAATTGATGTGTTATTTGATGCAGTGACTGTTAGGAGGATGAAAGGGGATGGCAATAGCTCAGACGTGGCCGTGGGTTGGGACAACAACCCATCTAGAATTTACCTCAGGGATTAATGAAGTGTTTCAAAATCAAAATCAAAGGAAGATTGAATAGTGATCATGGTGACACATGGTGACACCCTTATGTCAAAGATGGCACATGGTTGTCTCGTAAAATGTGGTGAAATGTTAACAGAAACAGACCACAATGCATCAATAAAGGAATATTAGTCATACAATAAATGTAATTATTACAGCTGTTTAAAGTCCAAACTCAATAAACAAACACAATACACTGCAGGTCGTGTCATGTGATAGGCAGGAATAGTTGTGTCCAGCTGTGCTGACTGTGGCGTTATTTCAGTGCTGAGCCAAAAGAAACCTCCAGTGTGCTCAACCTACACCCTTCTACACACTGGCCCCGCCCCCTGATGAGTGCACTGATGCTGCCTTCACTTACTGCTGAAAATACTGGGAATTCCGAACTTACAATAAAAATGTGTCTCCTCGTTATCTCCACATATTTTACATTTTTGGAGATTTGACTCCTCAGTTTTCTCATTACAAATGTAGCTCATGCTTTTCGAAAAAAAAAGTGTTTTGTAGTCTATAAATAGCTGTCTACAACCAACATGTGTTAAACTTAGGCCTACTTTATATCTTGGCCCTGGAGGTCAACACGCGTGGATGAAAACATCAGCATACATTATTGTAATGAGCAACTTGAACAAAAACAAGTCACTTGAGGAAGTCCATTGTTCTTCCACTTTGGATATCTCGATCTGTTTATGTATACAGTTTTCAATAACGTCAAAACAAGACATCAAATCGACCTCACACTGCGTCCCCAACCAACCAAATAATAAATAACTTTGTTACATCTAATATTGTCTTCTTAAACTCTGACAGGCTGTTTGCTCTCATTTAATCACATGTCTGCTATCACCTTGAGCCCCGACTGTAAGCACAGCATCCACCCAGGCCCCGCATACTGCCCAGTGGAGGGACCCCGAGGAGGAAAGTTTTTAGACTTTTAAATTTGATCCTCAAAAAGCCAAATGTAAAAACAATTATATTTATGATTTTATATTCATATATAGCCCCGCCCCTAGCACTATCAGCACTAAGGCGTCTCAGGAAGTAGGGTTTTTTTTTTTTAAACTTTAGATCTTTTTTTTTTGTTTTTCCTTCAGCATTTCAGTTGTTTCACAAACTATTTCACAAATTACTCAAAGTAGCATTTAAAGATGAAAAGATGACCCTACAACAATAGGCTATAATAACTTGAAATACATTTAAGATGCATACAATTAAATTAAAATTAAATGAAATGGTTGGGCTTTAATTACTATTAAAGTAGAGTAATTAAGTCAAGTCACGTCAAGTCACATTTATTTATAAAGCACATTTAAAAACAGCAGCAGCTGACCAAAGTGCTGTACAATGCATCAAAGAAACAGTTTACAGGGGATTACAACATATACAAAAAACACAAAATAAAATACAATAGAATAAATAGGAGAGATAATGAAAGCAATAACTGGAATCTGAAAGAACGGTCTATTCAGGACCAGAGGACTCAAATGCTAAAATTTTAAAAACATGTCTTTAGAAGGGACTTAAAAGAGTCAGTAGAGGATGCAGACCTGATGGGAAGAGGGAGGCTGTTCCATAGTTTAGGGGCTTTAACTGAAAAAGCTCAATCTCTTTTTAGCTTGAGTCGTGAGCGGGGGACAGCCAGCAGGCCCATAGCTGACGATCTCAGGGGCCTAGATGAGGAGGTCAGTGATGTATAGGGGGCTTTAAAAACAAACAAAGCAATCTTAAAATCGATTCATTCATTCATTCATTTAATTTTAAGAAGTTATAGGCCATCCAGTTTTTTATGTCTTAAATGTATTGTGTAAGCGAGGTGAGTTCTGAAAGGTTATTTGGTTTGACCAGTAGATAAAGCTGGGTGTCATCTGCCTAGAAGTGGTAAGGTTGTGCTTCTGGATAATTTGACTAGGATGGAACCCTGTGGTATCCCACAGGTCAGACCAGATTTGGAGGATGTGGTGTTGGTTATATTTATGGAGAAAGTTCTATTTTTTCTGGTACGAGGTAAACCAAGTCAGGGCAGTGCCACCAACACCAACCCAATTCTGCAAGCGATTAATTAAGATGGTATGGTCAACAGTGCAGTAAGGTCCAGTAGGATCAGGAAAGCACAGTTTCCAGTAAGGAGAAGGTCGTTGTGGATTTTAAGAAGTGCAGATTCTGTGCTGTGGGCTGCTCTGAAAACTGATTTAATTAAGAGATGCTCAAGGCACTTATTTTTTTCCAACATTTTCAAAGACTGAGAAAAGATTCCATACTAGGAAGTAACGGGCTATTAAAACGACTTTCCCAGCGAAGTGTTCCCATTTTACGAGGAGACCTTGAACGCAGCAGAATCCCGTTCGCTTAGAGACAACAAGCAGACGAAGAGGAGCCGGAGGCGCTCTCTCGTAAGTAACAAACTCATCTTTATAATACGTTTATGTCTGTTTCTGACTTTCACAACGTCGTCATTTAAAGAAACAACATGGCGCTGAAACACAAGAAGCTTTTTACATTAAATGTAGAAACACTAACAGACGACAGGAAGAAGCTATGGAGAAGTTCATCTCCTCCTTTCCTCTTCTGTAACTTCGCCGTTATTAGCCTGAGATGATTTGAGACACTGATAAGTGTGACTGTAAGAGTTTAACTTCCCTTTTCTCACGCTTGGTAAATAAGTTATTCATATGCAGATGAGTTACGTCTTATACTAAATTATAAACTACATTGACGGGTCACATTCTTCCTGCAGTGGTTGTCATGCCGTTTACAAGACTACTCTACTAACGGTTAACTTACGTAAAGTTACGTTATTTAACTTACGTAAAGTTACGTTATTTAACTTAAGTAAAGTTACGTTAGCTAAAGTTACGTTAAAAGTTACGTTATTTAACTTACGTAACGTTACGTTCGTTAAATTACGTAAAGTTACGTTAGTTAGATTCAAACTTCACATAATTATCATGGTTGGAAAAGCTAGACTAACTGGATGTTATAGCTAATACAAATAAATAATAGTAAAAGTTAGCAAGCTGTGTTGGTTTGTTAAACTTACAGACAGTACTTTGTATTGGAAGCCCAAAGAGACATATCCATTATAGGCTGCATTTTAAATTACTCAGTTTTACTGTGATAACACTTGAAAATCAGGCTGTTTTCCAGTTGAGATCTTGAGAAAAAAACAACCAAAATGTGTATCAGAGCTGGAAAACGGACTTAAATAAAGCTTGTGTGACATATTCACTATTAAAGTGCACTTTATAGTGAGTAGTGTGTGATTTTGGACACAAGCAGAATGTGGTTGTTCCCTTCTGACTTCCGTAGGTCTGATCACTGTTGAAAAAATATGCCAAGGGCCCCATTTAATACAGGAAGGGGAGATTGGGGACAGTAATTGAGAGACTATTCTGACTACAGACCAACCTCTGTTAAACGTATGATTATTACGCATGCTGATATTATGTTTGACGTCTTCTTAACAATATTTATTTGAGTATAAGAACTTATTGTTTTCTGTCTTCCTGGTGGCTGTAAGGTCAAACTGAGCATGTGCAGTGTGAGTGTCATAGCTCCTGCATGTTTCTAATTGCTAAACTTGGTCCTGTTGTAACCGTCTCCTGTCTCCTATAAGCCGTAAATGAAGCGTAATCATAAGATAATTGAGAGGAAGGCTTTGCAGGTTTAATGTGTTACATCAGTGATGCCGAACAGACAGGATGATACTTCTTTAATTATTATCGCTATTATTAAAGTATTACTGTAGGATTGTAGGATCTGTCTGCCATCTTGGTTTTTATTTGGTTAAACTTTATTTTCCTCACGACTTTAACCTTGTGTAATAAATCAGGATGAACTGACCAACATGAAGAAACATCCTGTTGCAGTCAATGACATTTCTAACATGTCTTCATCGTAAAGAGGATCAGTCTTTGGCAAAGTGAACAAGCAGAAACAATTTGTTTAACATCAGCTGAAACAACCCAGTCCGTAAAGATTAACCTGTAAACCTGTTGTGCCGACATGAGTGAATATAGTGGAACAATATCTCTATGAAAAAAACTGAAACAAATGGTGCCTTGCACAGGAAGTGATCTGACCAGCCCGATTTCCAAACTTGGTCGGCCCCGGGACTTGAACCGGCGCCCCTCTGGTTCCCAACATAAGTCCCTTCAGTCTGAGCTACTGCCACCCCCCTATTTCTATTTTCAAAATAAACCAGAAAGTTTTTAAATTATGAAAACACATTTTTCATTACAGTTTTTCTCTGAAATCCAAGATGACTTTCTCGTTTCTCGCGACACTCTTCCATCTGTGAAAGGTTCATACCTGAAACAATTACAAATTGAAAGTTCATAACTTTTGAAAGGATTAAAATGTTAACAATGACTCTTGCGTTACTTTAGTCCTCTCACTTGTCAATATTTTTTTAGTGAAAAATGTCAGTGGGGGGTGGGGGTCTTTGACGGCCCACATATCTAATAACAAACAGCCCCAGATTGCTTTGTATAACTAACACTCAGGTGTTTGAACAAGGGCCGAGCGATGAGGTGTGTTAATACAGAGTCGTGACCTCAGAGCTGTTTGCTCATGTGACAGCTTGATAAGAAGTTGTAGAGAGGCCGATAGCAGTGAGAGAGGAGAACTTCACAGCAGCGTTTGGATAATGTGTCACTGCGGACGTCCTCATTCATGGATACTGCTGCATGGAAAAGTACTGTGTAGTGAGTAAAAATGATAAAACTCCTGACTCTGTTACTTCATGAATATTGTAAAAGGCTGTTAGAGTGAGTCATCACTGGATATTTCCCTATTCGTTTCCTGACAGCTGATGAGTCAATCCTAATCAGTTATGGTAAA